CTGGAATCAAGACGGGGCGACGGAAGAGAGAAACAAGTGCCAACGTATTATCAGCCTCTGAAGCATGTGCACCCAAGATTGGCACCCCGTTGACGTTCTCTGATGAGACGTAGCCACCAGATGATACACAAACAGTGGTGGAGGAGACGCAGCCAGGTGGCGTGGGTAAGAGCATTGAACTTAGTTGTTTACAAAAAAAAATATTTCCTTTTTTTTGGGGTGCATAAGTCAGGTCTTTAAGGCAATCAAAACCCCATAAACAGAAAGAAAAAAAGTCACCAAAAAAAAAAATGATGTACTTAATAGTGCCCAACCCTTCAATTCATTTTGTTGGAGATATTGATTGGTAAGGACAGGATCAGTTGTGCATGCTCATCCAATTATCTCCACCTTCCACCCATGTGTATTAATATTAACATCAATGAGATCTGCAACCATATGTACTGAACAATTTGGGGATGGTTGGGAAATAATCCTGAAGGCTGAAAAGTACAGATCAACAGAACAACAGATAAACAACAGTGTTGCAGCAGAGCATCAGATGAACAGCAGTGTTGCAGAATAACAAAATAGCAGATGAATAGCAGAACAGATCAACAGAACAAAATGCTCTTGATAAACTCATAGAGGCCAAACAGCCAACTTCCTCGCTTCCTCCATGCATCTCCTCTGCCCACAAAAAACATCACAGATGATTGAGCAGAAGGCTGAGCAGAACAGATGAACTAATGAGTATTGCAGCAGAGCACCACTAAAATGCACCGTTTGATTTGGTTCAAATTGGATACAAAGTCATGAATGAAGTAACTGTTCCCAATTGAAGGAGACTTCAACCTAGGGTTGTACACTTATAATTAATAGTATTAGTTTGATAGTCACTTATAGTTACTTATTAGGTGTTTCCCTTTTCTTTTTTTTCTTTTTTTTTTTTTGTAATGAAGCATCAACCAATACTCTCACATATTTCATTAGCAATGCTTGTAATTTGTGACTTGCTTAACCTTTTCTACCAGGGCGAAAAAGGTCAACTCGTGTACGAGGACCTACATTAGGCAAAGGAGTGCAGAAAAAAATAGCACGAAAAAAAGGAGAGAAATTACATGTGTATGTCAATCGGGTGTTGAACGCAATAACAGGAGGGAATGCCACTCCAGCGATGAATGAGTTAGGATTGCAAATTAGACGGTTGTGCCCTCTTTAGAGTGTGAAGTCATGGAGAAAAATTGATCAAAGTACCAAAGATGCCGTCGTCCAAGGTGTGCTAGTATGAGATTCATCTTGCCATAATGTCTTTATTAAGTTATTTGTAATTGCTCAAATTAATTGATGTACTAATTCTCTTATTATGTTTGTAAGACAAGTTTGTTATCGACGATGATTTTGATAATGATGAACAAGCTCAAGAAATCCTCGATAGAAAGGCATATTTGCTATACAAGGACTGGAGGTATAATCTAAAGCAAGAGTTCCTCGAACTTGAGGAAAAGGGTGTTGATGAACCCTATAGTCATCCACCTAGTGGAGTGAGCTTGGAGGACATGAAATATCTGATTGATGTTGCTTGGAAAGACGAATCTCACTTGGTAACAAATTAATTAGAAACCCCATTCTTGAAATTAATTTGTGTTAATATGTAAAAATTCTTTACTAATTATTTTTTTTTTGATATATATTTTTTCTTGTTAGAAACACTCTAAAGCTGGTAAAGCAAATAGGGGTATGCTTCCATATAATCATACAAGTGGATCACGATCATTTCCTATAACAATGTCGCTTATAGTGAGAAATTGTTAATTTAGTAATGTAATGGATGATTGATTGTTCCTTTTTTGTTTTTTGAATATTACTATGTACTACTTCATCAATGGAAAATTTTCAAACCAAATAGGCAAATGAGGATGGAGAAATAGATTTTCCTGAATTTTATAAGAAATCACACAAGTCCAAGAAGATGGGAGACTGGATTGACCCCAAATGTGGTGAGCTACATGTGAGTATTGAATGTTGAAACCAATTTTGTTGCATATCAATTACTAAAGTTGTTTTCAATTCCTTCAACCATCTTGACTTCATTGTTTTTTTGCCATGATAGGATGATATGGTGAATCTACAAGTCGTAGCTACCAATGTGGGGTTGCCATTTACCCACGAAGAACTTTCAAGGCAAGTGCTCGGGTAAAAAAAAAATTACTTGCGTGGATGTGGGATAGGCCCACAACCCTCTTCCACAGCTTCTAGTGCGGCACGAGCACGTGATAAACATATAGAGGCAATGAGAGAGGAATTGGAGGTTCTTCGTGAGGACCGTCAAAGAGATCACGAGGAGTTACTGAAGGAAAAAGAGGAGCGCCAAAGAGATCACAAGGAGTTTCTCAAGGAGAAAGAGGAGCGCCAAAGAGATCGGGAGGACATTATGAGGGAAAGAAAGGAGCTGATGAAACAAGTCGAAGAAGAAAAAAAAAGCACGGGAGGCACAACAAGTACAACTGAATCATCTGAACGACGTGGTGTCACGGCTCACAACCCTCTTGGAGGGTTCAGATGGTCATCCTACTATTCGGTAAACATACTTTTATTGGTAAGCTAATGCAAGTTCAACAAAAATATGGATCATATTGACATAGAATTGTTTTCTAAAGTTGCTATGCAATTTTTTTGTTGTTATGTGCTTGGAATAGGTTTTGAGGCATAATGTGAGTAGACTTAGTAGCAGACAACCTGGTGTTTCGATACATTACACAAAGGACCGTAATCTAATTTCCATAAGGTAACTACATAAAATTTTGCTGAAATATTTTATTAAAATTTCATGTTTCATATTTTGTTAAAATTTTGTTCAATAGATGACAAGGAACATGCATGGCATTCCTCTGAAATAGACCCCAAAAAAATGGAAAACATGCCCATTCCTGAACAAATACTGAAGCATCCCCCTAAATATTGAATGGATTTGTTTTGAGTTGTGTGTGGTCCTCTTTTCATATAGGAGGAAACAATTAATGTTCCACCTGGCACCACATGTTTCACACAATTATTTTAAGCCGGTGCAAATAATTTCTTGGCTAGTCCTTACAATTTTTCTCTTGGTCGAGTTACCATCAAACTGACGTGTTTTGGTCGAGTGTGACTGGCATTCTTATGTCATTGACATGGTGAGATTGTTGTGGAAGAAGATAAGATCATAAGAAGAAGGGAATAGAACACATGTCATTGCGGTTTTAACTACACAACTAACTACTTAAACTAAAAACCTACTGCTTTATCAGCTCATTTAATAGCCGCATTACTGCTACCTAATAAACAATACGTGGGATGCCAAGTTACTAGCCAAGAAATCATACAAGAGTTTGATCATGAATCAACAGCTGCGTATGATTTGTAATTGAAGAATCATTAGCCTGTTATATATTTCAACTGTAATGTTATATACATAAATAGATTTCTCATCAAATAAATTTTATTACCATACTGAGTATTGGTATTCTTAGAGCTAAAAATTATCAACCAATTATCTTCTTGACACATCACCAGGTCTGACAAGTGAACTTGTATATTATTTTCTTTATCATATAAATGTAGCACGAATTCACGATAATAAATAGACACGAGACTCATGTTTTTATATCCAGTGATAAAAAAATTAAGTAAAAAAATTTGCTTATATATAACATTTTTTGTTCAAAGTTCAAAATAGGTTTTTTTTTTTTTTTTGACAGCATGTTAAAAATGGTTCAAATAAAGATGTTCCTCTAGTTGGACCTGGACTGATTAGAACTCTCATTGCAGCAATAGGTACTTCGTTGTTGGGTCAATCAGTAGTCTTAGTGGCCTTTCGTTTGTCCAAATTGAAAAGGCTATTGAGATTCAAAGCGCCTCTTTTTTTAATGGGCTTTGCTTCACTCGTTATGTGGACTTCATTGTCCAATCCGGGCCGCTTGCTTAAACATGTTTGGGCTGGCCTTTCAAAACGTTGGGAGTTGGCGTGAAAAACGCCATAAACTTAGCCGAAAAAGGCCTTTGAGGGCCGAAAATTGAAAGCAGCCCCTGAACCACTGTAGGCATGGCACGGGTAGCTTTCTCATGTCAAATAGGACCTGTGGGGACATATGGGACATAATTAGCATGCGTACGTTGGGAGTTGTCATGAAAAATGCCATAAACTCAGCCGAAAAAGGCCTTCGAGGGCTGAAAATTGGAAGCAACCCCCGAACCACTGTAGGGATGGCACGGGTGGGTTTCTCATGTCAAATAGGACCTGTGGGGATATACGAGACGTAATTACCACGCGTGCGTCAGGAGTTGGCGTGAAAAACGCCATAAACTTTGCTGAAAAAGGCCTTTTTGGGTCAAAAATTGAAAGCAGCCCCCGAACCACTGTAGGGATGGCACGGGTAGCTTCCTCATGTCAAATAGCACCTGTGGGGACATACGGGACGTAACACTGCAGGAAATTCAGCTTTTAGCGGCGTTTTTTAAACGCCGCTATAGGTGCCAAAAACGCCGTTAATTCTTTTTGTGGCGCTTAGCACCAAACGTCGAAGCTGCGGCCGTCGCTATAACATTAGGGCGCCTTAAAAACGTCGTTAAATGGTTATAGGCGGCGTTTTAAAAAACGCCGCTAAATGTGATACATAACGTTAAACTGACGTCATGACTGTTTTTAGCGACGTTTTAAAAACGTCGTCATTGCTTTTTTTGGATTTTAAAAATATAACCGTTGACTGTATAGTGACATTTTCAAAAACGCCATTATATCTTTATTTTTTTAATTTATTTTTTTTAAATTGTGCTAATTCTATGTGGGTGAACCAAAAAATACCTGTAATAAAATTGAAAAATAATACTAATATGAATCAATAATTCCTGTTCCTATTCAAATGAACATTTGTCAAAAGATAAACCAATTATATGAAAAGCTGCCAAGTAGCAAATACGACATTAATTCACTTTTCTATTCAATTTAATATACAATTACCATTTAACTACAAAATAACATATCCACAAATTATGTTTTAACATTCGCCAAAAAATAACAGGAAAAACATTAAGACAAACCCCTTGAGTTTTGATTTAATTTGATGTCTTGTCCTTGATACTAAATTCACTGAACCCAGTTGATATAGCATAGAATCTGTAATCTTCACTGGTCTGGATGCCTGTATCAAAATATGGAAGCCAAATTAGGTAAAGTGCATAAATTAATAATGGCAGAAGTGTTACAGCTTAAAACATAAGATGTACATTACAACTCACCATCTGTTGAAGAAGGTTTTGTACCTGGAAGAACAATTTAAATAAATTAGTCATTTCTGAAGCTTTGAAATTGTAGAAAAAGTCAGAAAAAAAAAATATTTTAACATGCTTCTTTCAGATAACTATTGTTATTCTTTGAGCCATCTTCAGTAGGAGACGAGGACGTAACCTTCAAAGGCCCACATGAAATGGAAAAACACTGTTCAAAAATGTTTTCTGTGTACATTAAGACGAACCCATCAATTGAAACACAACATGAAAATAAATCCGAGGATGAGCTCCCAACATCTGAGATTGGATCCCCACCAACAAGAGACTGAACCTTATTCACTGGGGAGATAAAAATTGAAATTATTCCCATGCTTACACTGAAGCAACTTTGTGCACAAAAATCTTCAGAAACAACTCCAAACTGTTCATCAATCTGTGGATGATCAGCAAAAAATATATGCAGAAGCAAGCTTATTAATGAGTTGAATGTTCTGCATATAACACTCCAAATAAGTTTTAGGAGTATAAGGACCCTACTGAAGAATTTGAAGCGACTGGTGACTAGCAATTTATTAGAACAATTCTTCGTCTGTTGAATACTTAATACTGCTCTGTAACGAGCTATTCGCCGTGCCCATGCAATAGCCTCAGCAGGCAGCTTCTTTTCAATTTCAGAAACACTCCTCCATTGTTTTTTAACAGCTATTGCAAATATGTCATCCTCAGACATCTTAACAGAAGATCTTTTCATAATGTCGTCCACAGGATATCCAACTAATATAAGTAGATTCTCATAAGCATTGACATACTGTAACCACAAACACACAATACCAACCAATTTATACAATGACCATCTACGAGTAGAAATCAGAGAACTGATTCTGCTTGCAGCTATGTTCCATATGTGACTACCATTTCTAACAGAATTGGATTCATAGGATGAGAGTGTATAAAACACTAAAATAATAGGAAGCTCTACCGGAGAAATTGAAAAACTTAATTCTGGAACATTAAGATTGAAGTCCATAAACTGAAGATCTTTCAATTTGAGGCGAGTGAACAGATCCAATAAAAGTATAGGACAGCTGATGTCAATATTAGTCAATATTAGTTCAGTATTGAAGAATATTTAGACTTCGATTTGCATGCATTAATGCTCTAGCTAATTGAATGGAAGTCGATTATAGGCTAGAGAGCAGTATATCTTTTCTTTTTTTTTTCTAAAAAAATCCACATCCTGTTTTAACATATAAAGGCAATTACATTTTATGACACCAGTGGTGGTTGTTTCCTCCTCCAATTTTCTTCCAGCATTGAATCACAAAGGTTCAATACGAACTGATATCACCACATTAACTGATTCGCACAATAGGAAGTCAACTCCATTGTAGTCTCTGGCCATTTTTTTTTAAGAGCTTTATAAGCATAAATGCTACCTATACCGTATGATTAACTTCACAAGACAGCCTATATAAATGCATCTTACTTTTTTAATTAATCTTATCTTTGTTACCAAAAAAAAAAAAGGATAGAGAATTATCTACTTTGTGGTCCATTATTTGTTAATTGTTTAAATGTTTATAACTTTCTCACATGATACAAGTAGCTCTCACATAATATATTTGTACCTTAAAGCTTATCTTTATTCCTTACCCATGAGAAGTTGCTTGTTCAATAATGGTAGAATCTGTAATCAAATTATCTTAAAATTAGCTAGAACCATTTGCAATCTCTAGTTCCACAAAGCAGATTTTGACTCTACTAGTACTACTCTATTCCAAATACATGTCTAAACCAAATAAATAACTACTGATCACTCAATAGATTGACAAATATTTGCATCAAACCATAATAGTTGACACTTGCAATAACATAAATGGTGTTCGTCGAACTAGTCCAATTCTTAAGGACACTTGCAAGATAAATCAGGAATGATTTAATTTCAATTATCAGGATGATCTGAACTTGGTAATTTTGGTCTAGCATATTAAAGAGGACACAATTAAACTTTCATCTTAATGCATGTGCATAACTCATCTATCAAATGCACAGAAAATGCTGGCACTAATGGTATACAAACAAATTGTCAACTTTAAATGGAATCTCACAGAAATGAAAAGCTGCTGCAAAATTGTCTACTTTAAATGGAATCTCACAGAAATGAAAAGCTACAAACAAATTGTCTACTTTAAATGGAATCTCACAGAAATGAAAAGCTACAAACAAATTGTCTACTTTAAATGGAATCTCACAGAAATGAAAAGCTACAAACAAATTGTCTACTTTAAATGGAATCTCACAGAAATGAAAAGCTGCTGCACAGTATAAGACTGGAAGGTTTAGAGTTCAGATTGTATACTACCTGGAACCAATTGGGGTTCTCTGGGCTTTGCTGAGCAGCAAAAACTGCAACAAAATTGGTAAGTACAGAAATCAGATCCAATCATTCATTTATTGTAATGACAAGTGATGAAAACATTACACAAATATGTGCCTAGTTTTATGAGCTTAGAAACCATAAATAAATGCAGTAGAAAAAATTAAATAGAAGGGATGAAATATATCTCTTTGTAATGGAAGAAAATAGATGAATAGGTAACATTTCATATTAACGGAATATCTGAAGTTATAAAAGTAATGATAAAGATAAAAATTCAGATAAGTGTAACACTTGTTAGCATACAAAAGCAACTTGAGGTGAAATCCTCAAATCTTGGGCCTTCAAGTATAGAAGGGATGAAATATATCTCTTTGTAATAGAAGAAAATAGATGAATAGGTAACATTTTCATATTAACCGAATACCTGAAGTTATAAAAGCAATGATAAAGATAAAAATTCAGATAAGTGTAACACTTGTTAGCATACAAAAGCAACTTGAGGTGAAATCCTCAAATCTTGGGCCTTCAAGTTTAATACCCAAGTCTTCAGGGCATCTACAATCAACCAAATACCAATTAGATTCATTTTTTGTAACTATATCAGGAGGTTTTATTATGCATGATGTACTTACTCTGCAGAAATTTATAAATACAATTTAAAGTCTATATTCACTATTAAGTGTTTCAGCATGTTTCTACCAGTTTCCAAGTTTGACAACACCTATACATAGGTACAATGAAATAGGATTCAGATAGCAGGATGAACAGAAAGTTGGAAAGAAATCAAGTTTTAAGCACTCTCCCTCTCTGAGTCTCTCTTTTGTTTTTGTTTACCATGTAACCGATCATTGTGCCTCGTGGTGAAGAAGCATAAAGTATCTCCAAAAAACTACAAAGCACTTAAACTAACCTGATATCTGGATCCTTCAAGGAGGTGATGATCTGTGATTGATACCTTTTAATAATGTCCTGAACATCTGAGACCATCAACATTCGGATCTCCTGCATCAGATCAATCCATAAATCATGCAACTGATGAAAACAACCAGATCAAACCTTCCAAATTCTGACATTTGCATACTACAACTTGGCATGCTTTGAACATAAGTTGCATCAATGAGATAAGAACTGTTGTGTTCCCGTAACTTACCAAACCAAGATATTGAATATTTGGCTCACGAACAGCAATGAATTTCCCAAGCAAGGCAACACACTGAGACATCATTTCTTTCTCGGCATCAAGATGCATGACCTGTGATAAGGCGATTAGAACACATAAAACCACAAAGTTCTGTATTTGCAGTTTCTTGAGCAATGTTTGTTTTTGAATCAGCTGGAAGCTGGTGCACTTGGACTGCTACACTGGGGGCAACCTTGGAAACATTCACTGAACCTTTATTGGCCTGCTTGCTATTCTTTTTCTGAAAATCAGCATGATTAACAGAGGTCATGTAACGATTTTAGTAAAGAAAAATTAATAACATTTGTAGCAGAAAGTCCAAGCCATCCAGCAAATCTAACTATTAAATTCAGATATTTGAGTGGGAAAGTTCATGGTCACGATGAACTTTTGACTCTGTTCTAGTTATTGCTGTCAATGACCAGAAGTTCAATAACCAATTTAGTCTTCTCTATACTCAAAAATGCCACTCAACTCAACTATCCCAATTTTTTGGTAATGCTTTTATATGCTCGGGCAATCAAAATATCTATCAACGATTCAACATTTCATTTTTTTTTTTTGTGCATTAAAGCAGCCATTTTTTATCTCTGTTAATGAGGAACAAACATACTTTCTTATTTAATTTTCTTTCAATTTACAACAATTTCTTACATTAATTATATAAATTCAGCAAAAGGGTAGTGTACAAACCGGAATTTTAGCTGCAATGAGGCAGTTTTTATAGGAATTTTCACAGCAAACATTTGTGACATCCTTAAGCACTGCCCTCCTCTTATGCTGAACAGGTGTAGCAGCAGAAGCACTGCTATTCATCTCATCTAAAGCTGCTCTTTTTGAACTTGTCCGTAAAACCTGCTTTTGACCTTGTTGCTTCAGTGCTTCTGAAGGTGGAATCCCTCCAAATGCATGACAAGCAGCAGCTCGAGCTCGTGTCATTCTAACATTAGGCTCCCCAACATTAGCAATAGCAAGATTTTCTTCCTTCATGTTTACTGGTCTTAGAGAAGAGCAAGGCAAGGGTTTCTAAATTCAGATAAGACTCATGAAACCTGCAACAAAATGCATATCGGGACAAAGTGAAATAAAGGACAAGCTGCTGAAGTGAGAAGGGGCTCCAGAATAGGGAACTCACAGGCTGCTAAAGAAATATCGTAAGCGAGTAAAAGTACAAAATAAAGCATAACAACCTAGAGCATCTAATTTTCCAGATAATCAAAGTAATGTTTGTCTTTAAAGACACCAAAACAGATGCACAACCATGTAGAACTGGTGTATAAAAAGCTACACACTGCTAGGGAGGTAAAGAAATGGTTCCAGAAAAGACTCTGAATCTAATAGAATGAAATAAAAGGCAAATATCTTAAATTCAAAAATCAAGAGTGAAATAAAGCCATTAGAATCCAATGCTGGAAAATATTGTTTTCAGCTCCTGAAACTACTAAACATTGCAATTTGATGATTCTAAATGAAAATGATGATCTCCAATCAGTGATTTGCATACTCTCAAACGGCCAAGGAAAGGCCAGTGACGAAACAACAATGTTCTATGAACAACAATGCTCGTATACCAAACAAGCAATGACCATGAAAGAATAAGGACACAGTGCAAGGTGCCAAGCCCCAGGCCCTTGGCTAGTCCTATTTTTTCGCAATCAATGGCACATGACAACTATTCCAATTTTAAAAATCATTACAAAACATTCTAGATCGATTCTGTACTCTACAGATTACACATTTCAGATGCAGGGAGAAAACATGAAATTAAGAACAGTGTAACAAAGGATAACTCATTATAAAGGTACAATCAGGATGAGATCTAGAGAGAGAGAGATCTAGAGAGAGAGAGAGATAGTGGAGCTGGCTACCTCACCGGTGCAGATGACGGTGGCGATGGAGCTTCGAAATCGCTCTGAACAGCTGATTGATGTCGATCTGAATCTTCGAAATCACTTCGAAATCGCTCTAAACAACCGGTGGAGCTTGTGTTCTTTGAAGCTCTCTTCAAGAACAGAAGATTTATGTTTCAAGAGACGAAGCTTCTTCGTGGAGTTATCTCCACCGTCTTCTTCGTCGCTGAGAGAGAGAAGTCTGCATATAAGATAAGAGAGTATAAGAAAGAGAGGGCTCAGATTAAATCTTCGTGGAGTCATCCCCACCGTCTTCTTCGTCGCTGAGAGAGAGAAGTCTGCATATAAGATAAGAGAGTATAAGAAAGAGAGGGCTCAGATTAAAAAATAAGGGTTTCAAAAAAAGGGGCGCGTGTATGTACGGCATTCGGAGGCGGTTTTAAACGCCTTTAAATACAAAACGGTGCCATTTTGGTTAAACAAATATGCGACGGTTATAAAACGTCGTTAAAAATAAAAAAAAAGTGACGTTTAATAAAACGCCGTTAATTAAACGCCGTTAAATCCCTAATTTCCTGTAGTGTAATTAGCGCGCGTGCATTGGGAGTTGGCGTGAAAAACGCCATAAACTTTGCTGAAAAAGGCCTTTTTGGGCAGAAAATTGAAAGCAGCCCCCGAACCACTCTAGGGATGGCACGGGTAGCTTCCTCATGTCAAATAGCATTTGTGGGGACATCCGGGATGTAATTAGCATGCGTACGTTGGGAGTTGGCGTGAAAAACGCCATAAATTTAGCCGAAAAAGGGCTTCAAGGGCCTAAAATTGAAAGCAGCCCCCAAACCATTGTCGAGATGGCACGGGTTGCTTCGTTGTGTCAAATAGCACCTATGGGGACAAACGGGACAAAAACAGCACGCGTACGTTGGGAGTTGGTGTGAAAAAGGCCACGAACTTAGCCGAAAAAGGCCTTTTGGGCCTGAAATTAAAATCAGCCCTCGAAGCACTTTATGGATGGCATGGGTAGCTTCCTCAGATCAAATAGAACCTGTGAGGATACACGGGACGTAATTAGCACGCTTACGTTGGGAGTAGGCGTGATAAACACCACAAACTTAGCCGAAAAATGCCTTTCGGGGCCAGAAATTCAAAACACCCCCCGAAGCACTCTATGGATGCCACTGGTACCTTCCTCATGTGAAATAGGACTTGTGGGGTTAGATGGGATGTAATTAGCATGTGTACGTTGGGAGTTGCCACGACAAACGCCATAAAGCTTATAAATATATGTTAAAGCTTATATATTACAGCTTATAAATATATATGTTCTATAAGCATCTCAATATATTTAGTTTTATGAAAAATATATATATATATGTTTACACTTTAGACTAAACTTGACTTGGGGCTCATGCCTAACTTGGGAAATTTCTTTACACTGCATACTGAAGTTGAATAAACTCTCAACTCAACCGAACCCATCAGAATTGTAACCTATTTGTGACTTTCGATCATGATTGCCAAGATTTTGACAAAACCAACATATTTAAGTAGACTTTGTTCTATAAGCCAACATAAATGTTACACAGTACATACCTTTGCATTGAGTTTTCAAGTGCAGTAAGTTGTACTCTAATACAATATTGTACACAGTACATACCTTTCCATATTTTCAACCATATTGTCATTGTGGAGATTTAGATCTTAGATTTTCTGTAAGACCAAGTGAGCACCATGTTGGGGTTGGAGTGTGAAAGAGAGTGCACATATGATAGATAAAGCTGAAATGCGAAGTGTTGTAAACTGATAATAAAAATTTCATAATCCTCTCTCTATCTCATTTTATGTGTCCTAGTTTCAATAGTGAATTTTTTTTAACAAATACTTCCTAAATTCAAACTAACCCTAAATACAATTTCAATTACAATTGACATCCTTGCAATTTGTGTTCTGTAGATGGTTGTAACTTTTTGTTGAAAATTTTTTGTTACAATGGAACTAATGGGTGTAATTTTTGTTGTGTAGATGGTTTTTGGCATTGACATGTGGATCTTCTATTGTTTTGTCCGGAAGATAATTCACAATTTTGCAACTTTGGGAAGTTTTTGGTCATCCTCTACTTTTTGTGTGGAATTTGGATGAATCCTATATATAATTTTTGGCGGGGTACATAGTATTTTTGGAACTTGTATTAATTGCTCTGGTGATATATATAGATTACCTTTTGTCATGGTACATATTACCATGGTAATTTGTACCATGCCAAATGGTCATTACAATACATAGTATAGTAAAAATGTTATGTATAGAGGACATTGTTTTGGTAGGATATTTGGAATGTATGACGTTATTATTCGTAATTGGAATATACTAGTTGGTTTGTATATAAGTTTACATTGTAAGGTGTTCTTTTTTGTTTGATGGTTGTAAGTGAAACATGCATTACAGAATAGATGATAATATATATATTGATTTGTTTGTATACCTATTACAGGTTGTGGTGAATACATACAGGTTGTGAATAAATTCATTAAAATGAAAAAAACAAAACAAAAATAAAAAATAATATTTTTGGTGACAAAACAATTGGTGGCCAAAAAAGGAAATAAATATTTTGGCGACTAAACATTTAGTAGCCAAAACAAAATGAAAAAAAGTTTTGGCGACAAATTGTTTAGTAGCAAAAAGTAAAAACACTTTTGGTGATTAAATAGTTAGTAGCCAAAACAAATTGAAAACAGTTTTGGCGACTAAATATTTAGTCGCCAAAACATTAAATATGTCATAGCGCGACTAAAATCTGTAGTAGCTAAAGAATAATCAACCTTTCCCGCGACTAAAAATTTAGTAGCTAAAAATAACACTTTTGGCGACTATAATTTGGTTGCCGTAGATTTTTGATTTTTTGGCAACAAAAGATATAGTAGCTGAAAATGTTAGTTACATGATTTGATGCACCTATGGGTGACTAAGATGTTAGTCGCCAATGTCACTCATTCGCGACTAAGCCACTTTTAGTCGCTAATACCCGATACTTTTCCCTACCAACATATAGTGCCCCATTTGTGTTGGACCTTTGGCGACTAAATTTGTTTCGGTCGCCACTTACCTTCGCCGATAATTGTACCCGCGACAAAGCCAGCGACTAAATTTTTGGTCGGGGAATCGCTTCAGCGACTAACCAATGCTTTCACTACTAGAAAACAGGGCTTTTGAGTCGGCAGCGTGCCGTCGCAAATAGCGTATTTGCAGACGCAAAAACTTTTTGCGACGGCATTTCGACAGCAACTCAAGGGATGAAAATGGTGGGTCGCAAAAAGTTTTTGAGTCGGCAATCTACCGACGCAAAAAGTTTCAATTTTTTGAGACCGGTAGATTGCCGACTCAAAAAGTGGTTAAATGTTTTTAAAAAAATTTAAAACATAATTTTCTCATTGAGGCTCCCAAGTTTTGAACACACTTCATTTGGACGATTTGACCCAAAGTCACCGCACTAAGTCCACTTCACCACCATACCCTCTTTCAGATATTAAATGAGAATATATATTATTTATAGTAATTACACTCAATATTAATATAAAAGTATATGTATAAATAAATATATTTATTAAATATAATCAAGTAAATATATATATCTTGGCTATAATTTTTTTTTTGCTACGGCATCAGTTGCCGACACAAAAAGGTATAATTTTTTGCGTCGGCACAAATTTTGCCAACACAAAAGGTCTATACTGACTCAAAAGGTCTATCTTTTGCTTCGGTAAATTGAACTGACTCAAGTAATGTTATCAAATTAATTTTTTGGTGTCGGCCAACGGTGCGACGCTAAAGGTTTGGTATTTGAGTCGGTAACTCTGTGCCGTCTCAAAAAGGCTACCTTTTGCGACGGTAAAATTTGCCGACTCAAAAAACCGACTCAAAAGGCCCTTCTTATTATAGTGTTTTGGCGACTAAAACATTAGTCCAGCAAAAGTGTAGTTTCTTGTAGTGTAAGTTTAGATAAATTTTTGGATTCCTCGATGGCAGCAACAATATGCTCGAATTTTTGAGGTAAACTTCTTTAAAACTTTTTCGACAATTCTCTTGTCATCAAGGTTGTCTCCCACACTTCCAATTTGGTTGACAATTCCAGCAACTCAAGAAAA